AGGAGGAACGGCGGCAGGCTCTTTGTCTTTCCACCGGGGGGGGTGCACAGACTTCTGCACGTGGTCGGGGCGGGATTCAAACGTATGCTGCCGACGTCCAGCTGCCACAGCGCAGGGGGAACGGGTGGAGGTGAGAGGGTCGTCAGAGTAGCACCACAGAAGAAGAAGGAGGGCGGCCATGATTTTTAGCAGAAACTGTAGTGAAGTCAGCTCAGCCGGGGGGGGGGGGGGGGGGGGCGGCCAGTTGGTGGCGTGTGCTTCCGTCTAAAAAGGAATCGATCTCATCTGAATCCTAATCCAGTAAATCTGCTTTAAAAAGAAGGCTCTGAGCTTTGAGTGAAAGAGGAGCCAACCGGCTGGCTGCTGCCGTCAGGCCACGCCCCCTCATTTGAATATCACAAACAAGGCTGTGGATAGAAGGGATGTTGTTAAAAAAATGAATGAGACTTTTGACCCTCATGGTGCTCCGTACAGGGAGACTTCACTGGAAAACGAGAGGCTGGTGTTACGACCCGGTTCTGTCCCTTTAAAGCCCATTCACGGTTTCTGCCATTAAATGGCCCGTTTACAACCTGTTTCTGCTATTAAATGGCCCGTTTCTACCCTTTTACAACCCGGTTCTGCCTGTTTACAGCCGTTTCTGCCATTAAATGGCCCGTTTACGACCTGGTTCTACTATTAAATGTCCCGTTTTTACCTTTTTATGACCCGGTTCTGCCCGTTTCTGCCTGTTTACAGCTGTTTCTGCAATTAAACAGCCCTTTCTGCCCTTTTACGACCCAGTTCTGCCTGTTTACAGCCGTTTCTGCCACTAAACGGCCTGGTTCTGCCAGTTTACAACCTGGTTCTTTCTGGTTGTGCCCGTTCAAGGCCCAGTTCTGCCCATATAAAGCCCATTCATGGTCCGTTTACAGCTGTTTCTGCTATTAAATGGCCTGTTTCTTCCCGTTTACCACCCGTTTTTGCCCATTTCTGCCATTAAATGGCCTGTTTACGACCTAGTTCTGCTAGTTACTGGAATTAAATGGCCCGTTTCTACCTGTTTACGACCCGGTTCTTCCCGGTTCTGCCCGTTTACAACTCATTCTGCCATCGAACGGCCCGGCTCTGGCCCAGTTCTGCCCGGCGGGCTTTGCTACCAGCTTATGCCATGATTATCCTGCTGTATTGGGACACGGCACCGGGCGCCCCGACCCGCCGTCCTCACCGAGCCGACGGACCACGAGACAAAATAAAAAAAAAAAAATCAGACGTGGGTAAAAACCTGCCTGTGAGGCAGAGGAGCAAACCAAACTGTACACTTTCTACAATCTAAGTGCATCGGCTGGAAGGAAAGTTGGAGCCCGGAGAGTCCCGCTGGCCTCCAGCTCCAGGACTCAGACTCAGGACTCGGCTCCAGGACTCGGCTCCAGGACTCAGCCTCAGGACTCGGCTGACCGCAGGACTGAGCTCTGCTTCAGCTTTAGAGCAGCAGGACTCAGCTCTGCTGCAGGACTCTGCTTCGGGACCGTGCTCCGCCTCGGCCGGGCAGCGGCCCCGGGCTCGGACTGGCCTCCCGGGCAGCGTCCTGCTCCTGACTGGACTCCCCCCTCCGCTGGGCGGTATGTACAGCTCAGGCGTTCAGCCTCAGGGACTGGTCCTCCCTCCTCCTGGAGGAGATATCGATGTCTATGGAGTCTTTGCCCACGATGAGCCGCAGCCGCTTGGCGGGAGGAAGTGGAATGAAGTCGTCCTCGAACTCGTTGTCAAAGTAGTCCTCCTCGTCCTCGCCGTCCTCCTCCTCCTCTTCCTCTTCCTCCGAGGACGACGACGACGACGACGACGAGGGCTCGGCCATGACCTTCTGGGTCCGGTGGCCGCCGTTGCGGGCCTCCAGGCTCTGGGCCGCGTCCCCGTTGTAGGCCTCCATCTTGGCGTGCGGCGCCCGGCGGGCGTCGTCCTCCCGCTTCAGCTGGATCTTCAGCTTGGTGGCGTTGGCGTGCACGCCGGCGCCGAAGCCGTTGTTCAGCTTGGCGATGTAGGAGCCGGCCTTGTCCTGGTCGTGGTCCTTGCTGAACTTGATGCTGATCTTGCTGGAGGAGGAGGCGGCGGCGGCGGCGGCGTGCTCGCCGGCGTCGGCGGCCTTGCTGCCGCTGCTGTCCCGCCGGCGCCGCAGCGTCAGCTTGGGGATGCCCGTGTTGTTCTCCAGGATGAGCTGGGCGTCGTAGCGCGTGATGCGCCGCTTCTTCTTGGCCTTGTCGCGCCGCAGCGCCTTGGCGCCGTTGGCCACGCCGCCGTAGTCCCTGTGCCGGTCGGCGAGGCCCAGCAGCACGCCGCCGCACTCCGAGAAGCCGGGGGCGTGGCCCGGGAAGGGCTCGCCGTTGGAGCCCTCGCGCTTGATGGTCCGGTCGGCCCGGAGCCGGGTCAGCTGCTTCCGGCCCGAGCAGGAGCCACTGCGGGCGGCGCCGGCGTCCAGCGGCGCCGCCGGCAGCGCCAGGGCGTGGTGGAGGTACTCCTCCATGTCGGCGGGCTCGGTCTTGATGACCACGCCGCCGGGGACCGGGCTCAGGCCGTCCATGGCCCGCGGCTCCAGCTTGACGCCGGCGGCCGGGTCCTTTCCCAGCGCCCGTGTGGACCTGCGAGTTCTGTAGCCGGCGCAGCGGCGTGCGGCGGCGCCCGGCGAGGTGGCGCCCGGCCCCGCGGCGCCCGGCGCGGCGGGCAGGCTCCCGTTCTCCCGGGCGGCGTGCCGGGTGAGGCAGCCCCGCTGCGCCGGCGTCTGCGGCGCCAGCTCGGCGCCGTCCTTCTCCTTCTTGACGGCGTCGCCTTTGCACAGCGACACCTTGGAGTCCCTGAGACCCAGCGGGCACGGCGCCGCCCCCGCCTTAGGCTCCGCCCCCCGCCGCCGGCTGCGCAGCTGCACCCTGCTGAGCGAAGGCTTGGGCTGGGAGCGGAGTCTCTTTGGTACCCTGTTGCTGCCCCCGCGGCCCGGTTTGGAGCATGAGGTAGAGAGGGCCGGCGGCAGCGCCGGGCGGCTCGGCGTCCGGCTCTTGAACTTCAGGCCGGAGGACGCCGGCGACGGCGCCGAGGGCGGCGTCCGTTTCCTGGCAGCTGAGGAGGACAAAGCGGAAACGCTGTCGGTAGAAGAACAGAGGCAGAACGGAATAAAAGCAGAACAGAAGCAAAACCTACACTGATGTGTTTTTGGCATTTCCTGAGAGTCCAGCTCGGCGTGGGAGCCCGGCGAGTGGCGGTCCGAGTGGCGGTCCGAGCCCCGGGGCCCCTCCCCCAGCTTCTTCAGCCGGTTCAGCCGCTTGTCGGTCTCCCGCAGGCCGTACTTGCTGTTGATGACCGGCACCTCCACCGGCAGCCCGGCTTTGGACTTGAACGCACCAGTTCCACGTCTGCAGACCCACAAGGAACCCACTCAGAACCGCCCACCGAGAGGACCCACCCACTCAGCCCCCACAGAACACTTCCTCTAGGGAACCCCTGTCTTCTCTTCCTCCTATTGGACACTCCTTTTCCTCATTTAGGAAGCCCCTTTCCTCCCTTAGGAAACCCCTTTCGTCCAATAGGAAACCTCTTTCCTCCTATAGGAAACTCCATTCCTCCCTTCCTCCTATAGGACACCACTTTCCTCCCTTTTCCCCCCTTAGGAAACCCCTTTCCTCCTATAGGACCTTCCTTTCCTCCCTTCCCTCCTATAGGAAGCTAATTTTCTCCAATAGGAACCCCCTGTCCTCCTATAGGAAGCTCCTTTCCTCCTATAGGGACCCCCTGTCCCCCCTCCCTCCTCCGGGTAAAGGCTCCTCTACACCAGGCCGTGGTTCCTCTGGAGGTTGTTCCTGGGCCTCTGCTTGTTTCTGGGCAGAACCTGAACCGGGGGGGCCTGTCCGGGGGCCAGAGCCCGCGGCGGCTCGGCGGGCCTCGTTACCTTTCACAGGTGTAGCACTCGCAGTACTCGTTGCTCTCCCCAAAGAACCCGTCTCCATAGTAACAGGAGATCTCCTCTCCCGGCTCGATGTCCCTCAGGACCTTCACGCAGGCCGTGTCCCGGCCCGTCGACACGAACTGAAACAGAGTCACAGCCGTTAGCGTCCCGCCGCCGCCCGGCTCGCCGCCGCCCGCCGCCCAGCTCGCCGCCGCCCCCCCCGGCTCGCCGCCACAGGCCGCCCGCCGCCTACCTTGCAGTTCGGACGACAATCTGCAAAAAGACAGAGAGCAGCAGAGTGAGAGAGGGAGGGAGGGAAGCGGGTGGGGTGGAGTTGGGGGCGGAGCCTCGGAGCCGGCGCCCGGTACCGTGGTTGATGAACGCGGCCGGGCCGAGCCACAGCTGGGCGCAGTTCTTGCGCGTGGAGTACATGACGCTGAAGTCGTTCTCGCCGTGCCGCAGCAGCATGTTCTCCTCGCTCTCCGACAGCTCGGCGATGCAGCCCACCAGGAACTCGATCTTGTCGTTCCTCTTCCTGCCACGGGACACCGGCAGTTAGAGGTCCGGCCGGCCGGCCCGGTTCCCCTCCCCCCCTCAGGGCCCGGTTCCCCTTCCCGGGGTTCTCACCATTCCTTTGTGGCCACGATCTTGGCGCCGTTCTGCTCGGACGAGTAGCGGTTGCAAGGGAGGATCTCAAAGCCGCTGTCGGTGGCGAACATGCGCAGGTAGACGAACACCTGCAAGGGAGGCGGAGTTAGCGCTGACGGGCCGGGCAGCAGAACTGGGAAGAACCAGTCAGAACCAGTTAAAAAACTAGTCAGAACCAGGAACAATCAGGCAGAACCAGTCAGAATGAGTCAGAACCTGTCAGAACTAGGAAGAACAAGTCATAATTAGTCAGAACCAGTTAGAAAACTAGTCAGAACCAGGAACAATCAGGCAGAACTGGGAAGAACCAGT